AGCGGGCGGTGGTCGGAGGCGAACTCCGGCGGGGTGCGGGGCGTGGTCGGGTTCGGTGCTTGAGGAAGAAGAAGAAGAAGAAGAAGAGGGGGTTTTCTTTTGGGGGTGAACTGATGGAGAGAGAGAGGGGGTACGGGGGAGAGAGAGTACGGGTATGGGGAGAGAAAAAAGAAAGATTTGTTTATGGAAGGGGAGAGAGAGAAGGATTTGATTATGTTTTCTTTTTTTGAATTTTGAAATGAGAGAAAAAATGGAAGGATTAATTTTGGCTGGAGAAAATCACGGGGAGTGATTTGGGGTTGATTGGAAATTGATTAAGGAGATTATGGTAGGAATTCAAATGAGAGAAAATTAAGTAGGAAGAAGATTATGGGAATATATTTATTTATTTATTTATTCATAATATTTAAAAAATCATTATAATAATAATTAACCATATAATAACATTAATAAATAATTAACAGCTAAATATTTATATATTTACATATGTACTAATATACTAAGCTCAGGTTTACATTAATAATAACAAGGTCACTAATAATATTAGCTACCAAAAGATTATATATATAAAATCATTAAACCATAAATTAATATTTAGTAGAATTAATAAATACAAGACTATATATTTTATTATTTATTTATTTTGAAAACTCAGAAAATTCCAAAAATTAGGAAAAGTATTAACAAAATATAATATAATATTTTAAATACTAGAAAAATTTATTTAAATACGTATCAAAATTTACGGTTGTTACATCCTACCCCCCTTAAAACAAATTCTACCCTCGGAATTAAAATAAAATCCAATGACAGAGATATGGAATGATATCCATAAATAAAGGAGACAAGAACAAGAAACAGTAGGAAACCCAAAGTCAAAGGGTGATAAAGCAAGAACGAAATAATCAAGAACATTGCCTATTATAGGAGGATGAAAATGCATCTAGGCTAGCACTCATAAACAAATCCTATCATAATATCATCAGGCAATACGAAATAAGGAAGTTCACACGCAAATAAAACTAAGAATGAACTATTCTCACCGGTGATAACTTGGTTGTTCTCCTCTGCTTCCACAGCTGACATCGTGAACATCTGTCGCCGAGGTTGCTGCCTGTATGCTTCCTGATATACCTGCTGTTGTGGGGGAAGTGGCCCTGCTCAAGGATAGGGTCTGTGCTGAGCTGGAGCTGCTGAGTCTGATCGAGGTGGAGCTGGAAGAGCCGCTCGAACATAGCACAGATGATGACGCCTGCGACACTCCTGCTCGGTATGCCCAGGGTATCTACAATAAGAACACCTCACCGAAGACTGGCTCTGAGACTGCACTCCAGGATGCTGATAAGGGTGAGCCTGATGAAATGGCTGACGCTGAGAATGCTGCTGCCTCTGCGGGGCCTGCTGCTGCTGTCTCGAAGGGGGACGCTCGACATTCCGGGCCGGAGCTGCTGGTGTCCTGCTCTGAATCACGTGCGGGTCTTCAGGTTCCTTCTGAACGCTCTCGATCTCGCGTGCTGCATCCAACACGGCGTCGTGGGTCGCAAGTGCTCTACCAGCTAGAGCAAACCTGATATACTTATACAGGCCCTTCTGAAACTGATGCCTCCTGATAGTAGGTCTGTCACCAAGTGGGGAGCATATCGGCTCAGAGAAGAAAACTCGGCCTCGTACTCATCAACTGTTCGCCCTCCTTGCTTGAGCTCCACAAATCTTCGCAAAAGCTCGTCCCGAGCTGACTGAGGGAAGTACTTCCTGTTGAAACGGTCTGTGAAGGTTTCCCACGAAATCGGTCTCTCCAAATGAGCCTTCTCTGCAGTCCACCAAATCCGAGTGGTGTCGGTGAGCTGAATATCCATAAGGTCCACCCATTCAGCAGGGGCAACACGGGTCACCGTGAGAATAGTCTCAGTGACCTTCAAGAATTCCTCCGCTGCTAGGGGTCCTTCAGCACCAGAGAAAGAAGGGGGCTGCATATACCGAAACTCCCTGACGCTAGACTCTGGACGAGGGGGAGGCTGGTGTTGAGGCTCCCGCTGCAGCTGCCCAGCTAGGTGCTGCTGATTCGTGGCCAATCCCTGAATCATCGCCAGAAGTTGGCTCGGGTCCACTTCGGGCTGCGAGACACTGCTACTAGACGGGTTATCATTACTACGAGTACCTACCATGATTCTGAAGGAACGAGGATCAAAAGGAAAATTAAGGTTAAAATCAAATAATATATTTGGAAAATAGGAACTAAAACATAGTTATTAAAATAACAGTATAAGAAATTAATTATAGTCTAAAATAATAATATAAGAACTTAATTGTAGTCTTACGGATGAAATATGATATGTATCTAAATTGTCTACCATATTCTTACTAGTGAGAACTCGGGACCATGACCTGCATGGGCAACCAAAAAAACCTGTCACGCCCCGCTTCCCAAAATACTCAGGAATTGGAATGTGAACAAGTCTGCGACGTATTAGATTGAGAAGAAATAAACACTATTATTTTTTTTTTCTTTTCTTCTCAATCCAATACGCTAAGCGTTAAAAATATAATATACGAAGTCACAGGTCCCCGATCACACATAGCAAGAATATAATGACAACCCAGAATAAGAAATAGACATATCATCAATGGTAAATCATCCCAGACCTAAAAATATGGGTCAAACACGCCCTTATTACAAAACGGTCCAACTAAAAATATAAAAATACATAATCCAACAGAAATAAAGGAAAGTACTGCTAAAACAACTAAATTCAATATCAGACTAAAGTAAGGTTCTGCAAAATAGATCTAGCGCTTATCAACTACTACATAAAGAAAAGTCTAAGCTTCAGATTGTTCTTCTGATCCATCTGGAAGACCTCACTGCTGCAAATCCTCTGGCTCTTGTACTATCCCGAACTAAGGCTGTACATCTCCTAAATCTGACGTACACCCAGAAAATAGGAGTACGTCAGCGTGTAAAACACACGGCAAGATACCCCAAGGCAAGAACAAATACAACAACGATAATGATAATATATGCGTGGTCAATGCGATAATAGAAATAAAAATAGAACATGTGATGATAGAAGAACAATAGAGACGTGCAACTGGAATACTAATAATCAGACGAATCCAAAAATCAACCAAGTAACAAGATCATGCAGGTAGCGATCAGAAACCATCCAAGCAACAAGATCATACAATAGATAGAATTAATATTTAAAAATCTACAACAAGAGACGTAGTACGTCGAGCGAAATAATCCAAACAAGGAAACCCTCATGTATATACCATATGTATCAAATTATAGATAATTAAATATTAACCCCAATCTATGTATGAAAAGAACACAAATAGTCATCCTATCACAACTCACTGGTTCATGTAGGCATGTAAAATTGCTTATAAGTCCCTTGGTATAGCTCGGCGTGGTGATTCGACAAACCATCGAGTGACGAGGCGACGAGGTCAACGAATCGCACGCGAGCAACAGAATGCATCCATTCGCGTGCGGAATCAAGCCAACGGTTCGGGGAGTCAACGAGTCATCCAAACAAGAGCGGACTCGGATGAATCACGACCGAATCAAGATCGGTTTCAGACTCGAACTCAGAAGTGGATTTACTGCCAAATCAGGAATCCGACTTACTGCCAAATTCAGGTCAACCAAATCGCACGTCCAGGACAAATCAAACCGTACAACCGAATCATGGACAAAACCGGGAGAATCAACGACAAACGAAGCAACCCAAACACCCTGAGCGGGCTCGGCCGAAACCGAGCCACTTCAGGTGTCGGCAAGCCGACACCCTGAGTGGCCGGTGGCCGAGCCACCTAGGTGGTCGGCCAAAGAGCCGAGCCAACCCAGCGTGGTGGCCGGCCACTTGTGCCGGAGCCACCTCAGCCCAGATCTGTGCCTGAGGCACAGATCTGGCGCTGCCTATAAGATAGGCCAAGGGCGTGGTTCATTTGAAAAGGTTGGATCTTATTTGAGCAGGCGAAGCCCTGCTGGATTGAAAGACTCAGATCTAAAAAGATTCAAGCTTTAGCGACTGTCGAGGACTTTGCTCATCCCAGATCTGCTTCGTGCTCGGCCGATCGTCAAGCGCCAAATAAGGGCAAGCGAGTTCGAGTAGGACCGTGATCTCAGATCGTACGCACTGCGATACTCCGGAATCAAAGTTTGCGGTCTTTTGATCCCGAGATTTGGGCGATGTTTCCTGGTGAACCAATCCCCCGCCTATTATTTCTTCGTGAAGATAAACCATCGTCTGCGTAGGATCCCGACCGATCTAGATGATGTGGTGGTCGACGGATAGAACCCCGGCGCGAGCAAAGAACCACAAAGCGAGCGACCGCAAAACAGGAGCTCGTGATTTGTTCGACACAAAAGGAGAAAGTTGTAATCTTTGTTTATTTTTCTTTGATTTTCATTGTAACCGGATCTAAAAAAAAGACCGGATCTTTTGTAACTCAAAAAGCTGTTATTTAAGATGACAATGGAATCAATTACAAAGAAAGACACGATTTTTCCCGCGAACAATCTGGCGACCACAGTGGGAGCCACCGATCTCGCTGCCGAGACCGTTGCGTCGCAGCCGCGGATCTCAATCCCGGTCGAGGAGGAGGTCGAATATGAATTCGATCAGGCCAAGTTCGAGGAGTATCTCTCATCCTCGTCCGGATCTACCTCCCCCCGCAAGTCCAAGAAGTTCTCCTCTAGGAGAAAAGCTCGTTGGTTTGAAGAAGTCCAGAATACCAACGATGCTCTCACCCCAGCTGATGCCAAAGTTGCGTCAGGTGAAGTTCCACCGACCTCCAACGAGGTCAAACCTGTTCTTGTCAACGCTTCTACTGTTGAGGGCGTTGTGACTCTCTCGAAGAGAGCCCGCCAGAGGCGACGTCAACGCCTTGCGCGGCAACTCGCTAAGGCGATGGAGTCTACAGACGGAGTCCGCTACAACACGGATCTGAAGAACAGGGGAGGCAAACAGCCTCAACAACTGAAGAATGGCGGTTCCTCCAAGCCGCCGATGAACGAATGGATCCGAGTCAAACGGAACCGTTTGACACTCGAGGAGCGGATTCACAAACGCCACGCACTGCATGCACAAGCAAAAATCCTTGTGCAGAAGGCCGAAGAATTGAAGAAAGAAAGAGTGGCCAAAAAGCCGTCGTCAACCCGCCAAGTGTGGAGGCCGAAGCAGCCTCCAACCAAAGTTCAACCACCGGCGAAACAACCCATATCACCGATAATTCCAGCAACTACTCCGGGAGATCATGCAGAGTCATCCCGAAGGAAAAAGTCAGTCTTGGAGCGTCTCGGTCTGATTCCCGACGAGAGAGGCAAAGCTCCTGTTCAAAATCGTTTGGGCTTGATGAAGAAGCCCCGGACGACGCAACATGCTGGGGGTCGTCGTCACCTCCAACATAACGAAGAAACCAGAGCAGCTACGCGCATCAACTTGCGCATTGAAGTCCAGGAGGCCGCCGAGAACTCATGCCCAAAAAGGCATGTTTCGAGGCGCGTGACTTTTGAAAGCCCTAAGAAAGCAATTCCCCCTCAGAAGGAAACATTATTGTCTGATGACGATAGTGTTATACCTGAGAAGTCGTGCCAACACACGATAGGTTACTCCGATCGTCAAGCAGACGAGTTGTACTATCGTGCTGGGGGTACGAATAAAACCAGGAAAAGGAGTCCCCGAGAACAGGAAACTCAGTGCCCCTGTTCCAAACTCATTCGGGCGGTATTGTCTGAATGCAGCTGCATCAGGGCGGTCCCTGTAGGCATCGAAAATTGCCTATAGGTCTCCACGAACGGTTCAGCGTTAAAGAGCGACGATGAACATCACTATCCGAGCCATAGGAGCCCAATTGACGTCGATGAACGACTGAAGTGAGTCGGCGAGCTACGTGAGCTTACAGGATTTCAGAACAACCAAGACCCGGACCAATCGGGAACCCGGTACTGTTCACAAAAAGGACAACGCCCCTCATGCCTCGACCACTCTACAGATAATCCAACCACCAGAGTGGATCGAACTCTTCGTCAAGCATCCTACGCACCTGGAATCACTCAAATCCGCGTGAAAAGGGGAGGATTTTTGGAGAGCCTTGGCGAAGCCCTGCTGCATTGGAGAGTGCCCGTGTGCTTCAACGAGAGGAGGAGTGGCCTACATCAGTCTTCATCGCCCGTCGGATCCTTAGTATCGGCCTTAGCGTTGATACTAAGAAGAGCTATTACCTCGCTTTAGCCGAGGTATACGCTTATAGCTTCTAGATCTCACGCGGATCGACGAAGCTCTGCTTCTATATCCCCCGCGGATAAACGAAGCTCTGTCCGATTTATCCGGATCAGAAAGTTTCTAGATCTCACGCGGATCAACGAAACTCTGTCCGATTTATCCGGACCAGATCTGAGTGCCCCGGTGGTCCACGGATATCAACATCCCCGTCACAGGCAAAAGACCCACGCAAGCAAGAGATGACAAACAGCTCTTGCGTTTGTTTGAAAGGAGTTGCATTTATTTTGTTTTCATTGTGTACCGGTCTTATAAAAAGGCTATCTTTTTATTTCATTGTAACGATTGAAGTTGTAATGAATGCAGCAATGAATACAGCAACTTTTTCCGCAAACAAGCTGGCGACCACAGTGGGAGCCAACGGCATCGCTACCGACGCCGTCGTGACGCAGCCGGCATTCAAGATCCGGGTGAATGAAGAACACGAGCTCGATCAACAACGGTTCAAAGAAGGCCTCTCTTCCTCCTCCTCCAGATCCGCCTCTCCAAACGGGTACAGAAAGGTAACCTCTTTCATAAATGTTTGCAGGTCCTTCGGCTCAAAAATCCAAGACCCCGTTGCCGCCGCTGCACTTGCACCACGTGACGTCCCCGCGTCGTCCAACGTGGTCGAGATCGCAGGTCCGGACTCCTCCTCTGCACTTGCACCATGTAACGTCCCCGCGTCGTCCAACGTGGTCAAGATCGCAGAGCCGGACTCCTCTTCTGCCGAGGAGATGGCTACTGAAGACGCTCCAACATTGTCAAAGAGAGCGCGACAAAGACGGCGTCAAAGCCTTGCTCGTCAGCTGGCCAAAGCTTTGGAACCGATGGACGGGATCTGCTATAATGAAGATCTCAAGTTCAGACATCACCAAGAGCAACAACGGCAAACAACC